TCTTAAATTACAATTCCAAAAAAGTACAATCTGGCTTAGGCCTTTGAACCTCGACATGTCTAAATAAATTGGAAACACAATAAACCACGAAGAAACAGTCAATTATTTCCGAAATGCCAACTGCAGAAAATTAATGCCTGAAAAAAATTTCACACAGTTTATTTATTGTGAACACATTTGTTCTTCATGCCTTAGTTCAAGTATTCAAACATTATAACACGCAAGACAATTAGGAACCGACAAAATTGAAATAAGTGGAAAACAATCCAACGAGTTCAATTGATCAAAATCATCCTCTCAATCACAAAAAAAATTATTCAATTGGCGAAAATTTTCGTGGAGGCATATTGAAACCATTGTCAGTACTGGAAAAAATCAAACATTGAGATTAAGTTGGCCCCTAAATAAATAAATTTTAATAAATTTTTATGCACTGGAAGGAATTACACCGCTACTTTTCACGCTTTTGAAAATTTTTGGCTAATGATTCTAATCATTTTGTCTAGTTTGAAAAAATTACAAATAATTTCATTTGCTTAGTCAACTTCTACCTAAAATCAATAATTAGAAAACTAAAAATCCATCCGATTGAGCTCATAATTATCATCTTTAATATTTAAAACTTTAATTCAAAAAACTTTATATTGATATAATTGGAATAATTGCTACAAAAATTATTGGATCGTTTTAAATACTGCTTATTGCCATTCTTATCCTTTAATAATTAAGTGTCATTTGGTCAGAAAAAATTAACAATTCAGACCTGTTTTTCTGGACACTAAGATAACTTTTTTGTGGTAGTCAAAATCGGGAAAAAAGTAGTCTATACCATTCTTTTTTCTTACCTCCTTTAAAAAGCGCTCAGAACAAAAATTATCCAATCAATAGTGTCACACTATAACAATCTAAAAAAAAACAAAAAAACAAAACATATGTATTTAGATTGGAGTGCGTTCGATCGTGTCAAAATGTTTCGACAGGCGATGAGTTCAAAATGAAGATAACATATTGATACCAAGTATTTGATGATAAAATTTGAGAGCCAAATGTTTTCAGACTCGATTCTGCTTTTTTTTCAGATGGTTTGATAATCTGCAGCCAATTTAGAAGAGTTAATGATCTTTCAAGTTTTTTTATCGATAATCACTTATAATGTATCAAAAGAGGATAAAAGGCGGGCCTTAAAATAAATTCTCAGTGACACTAAAATTCAACAAAACAATTAATTCTGACAAAATAATTTTTCTAAGCTGCCTTTAATTGAAAAAATCTACTATTGTCAATCAAATAAGATTTTTTGAAGATACCTTCAATTTATGTTTGCATTTGTTGGCAAAACGTTTTATAATTTGACCTTAAAAACAAATGAGTTTCCAAATAGTTCATTGCAAAATGATGGAGACAAATTCTCGTTTATAGATTTTGAAATATTTTTTTCTTTATGATGAGATTTTATCCTAATAGCCCTTTACTTTTTTTCCATGAAATACTTCACGGCTGAAAATTCATTTTTTGGTTTTTTAAAGCGACCGATTGGAAACTTCAAATTTAGTGGAGATATTATATGCACCCATTTTTATAATTGGAATATTAAACAAAAACTGAGAAAGTTACTTGTTTTTGACAATGACTTACATTTGCCAATCAAATAGATTTTTCTTGAAATTAGTTGCCTTTGTTTCAAGAAAACTTATTCGGCGAGGACCGTTTTACGAGCCTGATCAATCAAGACACAATTTTTGAAAAAAAAGAACTTAACAGTTCGACCACAAAATATACCGCTCTGCGACAAAAATTCGAAAAGCATGATCAATCAAACAATAAATTAGGAAGAAAACCCCTCAAACAGTCAGATCACAAAACAAAAAACAAAAACAGCGAAAGCCAGTTTGAGGGCTTGATCAATCAAGTTGCAATATTAGGAAACACAGTGCTTTAGCAGTCATACCACAAAACAGAAGGTTCCGCGTGAACCACTTTAAAAGCCTGATCAATCAAACTACAAAATTAAATAACGAAAAATTTGAACACCAAATCACAGAGCATAAGGTCCAGCGACAAACATTTTGGAAGCATGATCAGTCGAACTACAATATCAGGGAACGAAGAACTTAAACAGTCAGAACAGAGACCAAAAAGTCACTTGACAACCGCTATAAAAACCTGATCAGTCAAACTACAAAATTACGAAACAGTCGGACCACAAAGGAGAAAATCTCGCGACAACCGCTTTCAGAGCCTGATCAATCGAACTACCTTAATAGGAAACAAAATACTCAAAACAATCAAATACACAGCATAAAACCCGCTACAACGACTTTAAGAGCCAGAGGAACCAAACTACAATATTGGGGAACAGAGAACATAAAAATTCAGACCACAAAACAGAAGGTCACATGACAATCATGAAACTTAACGAAGCGACTAGACCAAAGAAAAACAGAAAAAAAAAACAAAGTGATCATTATTTATCGCGCTTCATTTTGAGACTGGTATGATTTTTTGTTAAATGGCGGATTCTTTTTGAAAGCCCTACAAAAAAAGCGAGATGCAGTTAAACTCCTTACAACGTCAAAAGCAGATTTCTGGTTCTTCAGTGCAAATTGAGAAAATATATTAGGCAGAAATAACAGATGTCGATGTAAGTGAACATATGGTGTCTGGAACATTGGTGTAAGATAATTGACAGCTAAGTGAGCATCGAAATAAAATTTAAAAAGCGTTAAAAAAAGATTGTAATACTGAGAAAAATCAAAACTTCTTAATGATTTGTCGGCAAAAACCTTTAAAATGTCCACACAACGTGATCGATCGATAATTTCAACAAAGTAATTGTTTTGTCTCTTGAGTATAATCTTAAGTTTGAACTCAGCTGTGAGACCATTGGTCAATTCAAAGTTTCATAGAATGCCACAGGTCAAAAATATACAGCTTCAAGTTTTTTTTGTTTCAGTTTTTGTTACCGTTTAATTTTAAGCTCGGAGATTTGCAAAGCTATAAATCCTTGAAAAAGACAAAACTTTTAAATTATGTAATCACTACTCTTGAAGGGTCAGAAAGAAATATGATGTAAGATCAGTTTTTTGAATTTTTTACTCTATCAAGGAAGGATTGTGAGGGGTCAAGTGTGGTGTGGTAATAGATCCCCATTGAATGTGACTCGGATTTTTACAAAATTCAAAAAATCTCAGTGAAGAGAAAAATTGCTCCGAATTTTTTTAAAACTAGTTTAGACACAATTTGATAGATGTTCCTACATTGAAAGGATACGCAGTGATGTTTTTTCTAGTAGAGAAAAACTAGGGCAATTAAAAATAAAATAGTCAAAAATTAACGAAAAAATTAATTGAAGGAAAATGCTTAAAACGAACTGATTTCTGCTCTGAGAAAAATTCATTTTTTACTTGAATTTAAGCATCTAAAAACAGACAAGGATCTTCAGTTCTCTGAAGTGTGTATATCAAAGAAGCAAAATACTATCACCAAGTGACCTTACGTCAACTTGTTTTGACAAACTAACTCACAATTTTGATTTATTACCAAGTATAAAAAGCTTACGTCGGGATTACATAGCGTGCAAAATACTTGGGTTTCCTGCAAGGAATCTAAAGACTTCATGACAATCCTGGATTTCCTGGCAATAGCCAACCAGGAATACCGCCAAAAAGGAACCCTGTCTAAAGTTTATTTTTGAAAATTTTCGGAAAAAAACGCGTTTAAAACTTCATTTTTCGTAATAGCCAATTGACAGAAAATTTATGAGTCGTCGGATTTGTTTGATATGAAATATAAAACCACTGAAAATCAGCCTTCCACTCTTAGACCAATCCAGGCAGTCTAGGGCAATCGCTGCAAAATTTTGACATTAAGTGTCCCCTGAAAAAGCCTGACTGCTGGGAAGGCTCCAGGGATGAGAAAATTCCATAAATAAGTAACTCGCGCGTATTCAACAATGCGATTATCATTTTTTGTCAATTCCCAGTTTCCTACTCGAAGTATTGAATCTTAAGCACATAAAACAAAACAAGTGGCATAACCCGTTTGACAATTATTATAAGTTATAGGTTGTCACAACAATTGAAAAAATCATTACGCAGCCAAATGTGTATTTTCTAAATTGAAAGTGGATTCCGCAAAAAGAACGCTCCTTTTGTTCTTGAATTTTTTTGATCGTTCCGACAAAATTTTATCATGTTTAAAGATTTGTCTCTGAATTTTAGAGACCTAAAAACACCAAATAGTGCGTCTATCTAGTGCACAGTCTGGGCTCAATGATGAAAGACTAGAAGTAGAAACGAAGTTCTACACCATCATATAGCGGTGTAGGCCTGTAATTTTATAATTGAAGCTTTTCAACTTCAAACGTGTTGATCTGATTGCTTCTGAGGGTAAAAATAGCCAAAAAAACAGCAAACTATAGAATATATTTTTCATGAATGAATTTGAGATCTTGTTAAGAGTCACAACCAGGGGCGGATCTAGGATTTTCTCGAGGGGGGGGGGGGGGCGTGCAATTATCCGCTAACCGGTATTTGAAATCGACAACGAATCTGCCCACGCAAAATGTTTGAAACAGTTCTTTGCTACAGTCACGTGAAAAAACAAGTTTTCTCTTCACGTTTTTGTTGTTTTTAAACGAATTTTTTCATTACGTGGGGAGTTTTTTCATGTCGTTTTCTCTGCAGCAATTTAGAATATAGGGTTAAATTTTTTACAGAAAACTTTTTTACAAGAAAATTCCAGACTATACCTGATTGCTACCTAACGGAAGGTAGTTTTATTTGAATTTTCAATAAATTGAGCATGTCTGAAATTTACCATTCTTACACATTTTACCATTCTGTGCCTAAAGTTGTTTACGGAAAAAAGTCTAGAACCCGATTGCAATACCCTTGCTCATCGCAAGGGTAATAATTTTCCTCAAAAATATCTCAGACAATTAAAGGGCATTTGGGATTTCACTATTCCAATTTTTGATCATTGTAGTATTTTTGACTTACTTTGACATGTTGTCGAGAGCTGCGTGATCCTCCTCCTTGATAAACGTCTCAGCATTGCCACTTAATCCTTTAAATGACACTAAACTAGCCAGTGACCTCTCGCTTATCTCAAGTTCCAGAGCTCTGGCTTTTTCCAGTTTCAGAGCGACCGGCATGGAAGCGTCGTTTTCTAGAGTGGACGCCGCCTTCATGAACTTCTCAATGTGATCAGAAATTGACTCGTGATTGGAATGCAAGGTGCGAATTTGGTCCAATCTGTCCTCAATTTGTCTGAAAAAAAAACAAATTTTGCCAAAATCAGCTTTTAAGAATTGATTCTATTTCCGTCAATTTAGGCGCCTGTTTTCCGCAGTTTGTACATAAATGAGCAGTAATGTTCTATAAAAAAATTCGACTGATTTGCATACTTAGTTTACTGAAAAGCTCTAACGTTCAGCGTAGCAATTTAAACTCTCTGAATTTGCTAAAATTTATTGACACGATATTTGTCAGGAAAGTTTACAAAGACGAAACAAGAGACGAAAAACGATCTATACAAAAACTTATTTTGAAGAGAAAAGTTAAATACTTCAAAAAAAACAGATAAACTTACTTTCTGAATTGTTCAACTTCGTCTCTCAAATAACCACAGTCCTCCTGCATGCCTTCGATGTCTCCATCCGAGACCCCTGATTGGTCAATACTGCCGCTGAAACCTGATTGGTCAACAGTGGTGCTAGATGATGACGTCACTACAGGGAATGAGTCACTCAAATCAGTGATAATTGAGTCGGATTTGAGAAGGACGGAGAATCTTTCAGGGAGGGCGTCTATTTTAGCCGAGGTCTCTGACAACGATTTCTCGATCGACTAAAGCGCAGGAAATTTTGAGGGACTTAGCCTTTAATAAAAGTTTGACATCTTATTAAGACCGGGTAGCAGCTTAAAAATGCAGCATCTAAAATTTGTTAAATTTGTCGTTTGAACTGCTGGTTTTCCAAAACCCCATTTCTGTTCAAATCGACTGTTTAACTGAGACCTTAAAGCTATTTGCACACTTTGAATAAAACGAAATGACTGTGATTCATTTGCTAAAAAAATGGACAAAACTTGAAAATTTCGAGTTTTGAAAGTAGAAAAAAATCAACTTTTGCGCGGCAGTCAAACTGCTCGAAAAACAAGTTCCAAAAGAACTGTTCTAAGGCAATTTTTGAAAAAGGTTTTTTTTCGGTTCGAGTGTTTCTTAATTTTAGCACAAAATACGCGCCGGTCGGCTCAAAAACGATGTTGCAAAACAACATCAAAGAAGAGTTTATGTTTGGCGGAGCACAAGAATTCCGATGGCGGGATTGTCCCTGTATTTTCTCCTTATGGAAAAAATATTTCTGTCTAATGATTCTTAGGAAAATTCTATGAAAATTTTGCACCCTATTTTTATAGGTTTCAGCGCACTTTTTTTTTCTTACTTTTATGTTGTTCAGTACTATCTGGGCAGGTTTGGAATTGAGTGGAAGTTGTCCTTTATTGCCAATTGAGTCCAGCTGTTGTTTCCAGCCCAACATTTCCTTGTCCAGTGACTCCTTGTAGCTCTCATACTGAACCCACTCGTGATATTTAGTCCTATAAAAAACATCACTCAGAGGTGACAATGCGTTTGGCATCAATTGCGGTACAACGCAAGCGCAGCATTGCAATCTAGCGAATAGAAAAAATGGAGAAAATAACAAAATCTAAAATTGTAGGAGTAAAAGAAAATACTTTCAGAGAAACAGTCAAAACTCAACCACCAGTATTAAATAAAATTTTAGTTTTTACCGAGCGGTCACTAA